GTGACAATAGAAGAGGTGTTAAAGTTGATGAAGACGGTTTCACACTTGTCAATCTTTCTACAAACGGTTATGTATCTGAACCATTTATTCTAGCTAAGCAAGCTAACCAAGTATTCTTTGTTGAGGACCCAATGGACACGAGATGGCACATTGTTCTCATGGTAAACGACGTATACTCGGAGTTGAAAATGTCGTGGACGAGGAAGAAATATAACCAGTTTGACGACCTACCTCCATTTTCTATTGGTATTCCATCTATAAATGTCGATATTAATGACGCTGCTTACTTAAGATTGGACCATAACGAAGGAGCATATGTTGAAGAAAGGTAATAAACCCCTCTGTTCAATCTAAAAATAAAAAATATAATTTGAATGTAAATCTGAAACATATGAGGATAGTATTATGTATGTATTTAATACATTTTTGTTTGCAGCAACACAGACGGACACGACACTGAAGGACAATAACAATGATAGTTGTAGTTAGAACAATTCTATGTTCTTAACTACACATTGATGTGTTTGGCTATATGATCATATGGAAACAGGTTACTTTCTGTTTGGCTATATGAATCATTGATGTGTTTACAACTTTAGATAGTAGTAAGGGTATTTTTGTAATTTTACAAGCAGAAGCAACTGTTATCCATCAATGTACACAGCTGCTATCACCACCAGATGATCCAACTTATGTCATGACTTACACAAGTTTATCTTCTTTTATTCTGGAATGAAAATGTTGAATGGTTACTACTATTATGTGTAAAAAAGAAAGTACGGGGGTATTATTTGTAAAAAATAGAAGTACGGGGGTATTGTGTGTAAAAAATGAAAGTACGATGCTATTATGTGTAGAAAACAAAAGTATGGGGGTATTACGTGTAAAAAATGAAATTACGATGCAATTATGTGTAAAAAATGAAAGTAGGGGGTATTATGTATAAAACTGAAAGTACGATGTTATTACGTGTAAAAAAGGGAAGTACGGGGGTATTATGTGTAAAAAATGAAAGTACGTGGATATTATGTGTAAAAACTGAAAGTACGATGCTATTATGTGTACAAAATGAAAGTATAATCCTATTGTTGAAAGTATTATTTTGTTAAAAGAAATTGATTCAAGTATAATGTTGTTACCGGTTTATCAAAACATATGAAATGGAAAAATTGTCACTTTAGACTGATTTTCGTTTAATTAATCACATAGAGAAAATGTTTGGACACTGAAGATGGGTTTGTTTAAAGGGTTAAAGCCAACCTTCTGGATATGCTTCATAAGCATTCAAGAATTCTTGGTTCATCCAATTCAAATATCTTGATAATTTTGATTTTTGCCATTTTGATCCTATGGCATTATGGTAGTTTTAACCATTTACATCCAAAATGAAAGGGCAAAATTGTCATTGTAATAATTCTAACATATTTTCTATTAAAGTTGACGTTTCTCAGGGACCACTTTTCAAATCAACCAACACATTATGCTTCTGGAAGAATGGTATCACGATGAAATAACAAAGTGATATAATGGGATGACAATAAGATAAAAATAAGTTGAACTCATACTGATTCATCATTTCACAGCTTCTTATTATTTGATTTACTATAATGCTAATTGCTAAAAAATTTGTCGTCGAAAATTTTAGTAAATGTGATAATTTTGTCTCTTATCATTTCCTTCCATCAAATTATTATTTACATTAACAAGAAGAAACAAATCCATGTTTGTAATTTTATTTTTCTTATCGGTTCAATAGTGAGTTTATTACACAAATATACATGAATTTCTTATTTTAGTTAATAAATGATTGACTGGTAACTTATTGCAAAATTATTTACACAAGTAAGACATTATTTTTATTAAAACGGTTCACAAGGTTTGATGCAGATAAAAAAGAAAACAAAAAATACACTTACGTCTTCCCTGGGTAATTGACCCAAAAGTCAAAATTTGCATATTGAAGGGGCCCATCAGTGTAGCCCAGCACATTTTCAATTCGGTCAATTTGCAAACTAAACAAAATTGACCCAAAAGTCAAAATTGCAATTACGCTCCCTTTTGCGTGTACTTTTTTGGCTTATCACGAGAACGACGAAGCCTTCGCCTTCACCGACGACGCCTCCGGTCTTCAGTCGACACACAGACGAAGTCTCCTACTCCGGCCAACAGCCGCTTCTGCCTCCTCCTTCTTTCACGTTGTTTACAGGTCATCGTGCCTTCTTTGATTAATGTCTGTTTTATGACAATGTCTTCTTTGATTAATGTTGTGTTATGCAATGCTGCTAGTTGACTAGGAGTTGATAATGGTTATACTGTGTAAAAGTATAAATGCTACTTAGTTATTGGTTTATTAGACCATAATCAGTAAAATTTTCTAGTAATCGACATTTCAACTGGTCTATGATATCATAATCATATTAATTTCTAGTAACCTACGTTTGGAGGGTAGATTTAAACTATGATAACTTGTTCTGGACTGGTGATTGAAGTAGAACTTTCACTCTCCTGTGATAACTTGTCAGCTATGGATGCCAACAAGTCAAAAGCGCATATTTTGCTACCCTCTGATGATTTCCTATGTGAACTCCTCTAAAGAAACAAAAAAAATGTGTCAAATTCTTTCTTATAGAAAAACTTAGTAGCAGTTAAACCGCTATAGAAAGAATTTGCTACAAACTCCTTTGCCTTCATCAAAATAATCTCATCATACACTTTCACCAAACATCTATTCAGAGCTCACCACTTCTCCAATAGCAGCAGCCTCACTTGGGCAAGTGTATAAGGGTAGATTAAAAGAAAATGGGGATTTGGTTGATGTTTTCCTCAGGTAATATTTGTCAAAATTCACTTGGACAGGTGTATAAGGGTACTTTAGGGAGTGCATTCATCCTTTTGTAACTTGATTTAACATCTGCAAAAGCTTGAAATTAAAGAATAAAAGAAATATTAGGTCAATATAACAATTAAATGAGTACATTTGGCTCGAAAACAAGTCAACACAGCTGAATTACTAAAATGTTTTATAAAATTCCATGTCATAATTTTAATAAATAAAGTCGATTTTAAGAATATGAGGCAATTTACATACCAATCATCAGAAATGAAGAGAGAGTTTCTTCTCCCCTGAGTTGCCACCTTTGCACTATTGAGTAGAAATATGCATTTAGAATGGAATGAAAACTACAAAGTAACCGATTTTTTATTTGTGTAATCTTCAATCACATTGATCCTTTTGAAATTTTCTGTACAGGACCAAAAGATTCAGAGACTATTCCAATCTCCTTCAATTTCACTTCAATTGCCTTTAGCTGTGGGGTATCGATTATTATTTCATCATCTTCTCATTAGTTGGATTAAGTCATAATCTTTAACATATCTTTACCCTCATCATTTTCTATGATCATTTTTATGCTCATTTTTTTATCAACAGGTCTGAGGTATACATTGGAAATTTACCATTACATATGGATGAGGTACTAGTGCAAACAACCAAGAGCAGGAGGATCCGTATGGTAGAAAGAAAACCAGAAAAAGAAGTGTTGATAAACCCAAAACGAAACATCTTGAAGCAAGGTATACATATTAACAAACATTATTTGAGTTAATATATGAATCAAGAGTACATAAAGCATTGAATTTGTTTTGAAAAGAGCATAAACTTACTTGGGCATCTTCAATTTTATATAAAATTTTGGTTTTTTTTGGTGTTTGAGACTCTTAGAATTAATTATACGAGTGTTTATGCTTTTGTAGGCATACAATGGACCGTAAAGAAAAGAAAAAGAGAAGTGTGACATTGATCAGAGATCATTCCAAAGAATATCTATCAAATTTAACAGTTGAGTTTGATCAATTCGGTAGAGCTATTGGACCTAACCGCTTTAAAGTTCACCAGTTATCGTGGAGTGACTACGAGGAAGATGATTTCTATCCTTATAGATAGTTGGGATTTAGTGGATCAATGTGACAAGGATCAATTGTGGTTGAACATAAAGGTAAAACTCATTTCACACACTTTTGTTATCATTTAATAGTAGCAATCACAATTTCCTACCATGTTATATCTTCTATCATACAAGTTGTATCATATCATTTACCTAATAATTGTTATCTTCATTTTTTATTTAAAAAAGCAGAATTATTGGCATATACGAGATGATAATCATAAAGCACAAGTACTTAGAGATTGCAACACGCAATGGAAGGCCTACAAGTCGGCGCTTCTTAAGTTGTGGGAAAAAGGTGTCAATCCAGTAAAAGAATACCCGTACCTTGACAAAGCAATGTGGAAAAAGTTTATTGTTCTAAAATCCACGGAAGAATTTGAGGTCTATTTGAGTTTATAATATTGTTGTGTTTTACTATTTCTAATTGGACAATTCATTTGTAAAGGAATTAAGAAGAAAAGGAAGGGAGGCAGCAAATAAAAACAAGAAACCATCCTCGGTTGGGCCCAAGCGGGTATCGTGGTAATGAAAGCAAATGGGATGAAGAGGCAACATCTGGTGTAACAATAAAAGGCCACAATATATCAAGCAAGCGGGCAAGGAATTTTCTCTATGCCAGGAGAAAACGCAATGCATCGGGGCAGTTGGTTATAACGCCAGAGACCGAACCTCTAGCAGATAAGATTGTAAGATAGTGGCCTTTGAAAGTTCTTTATTAAATAAACTGCTCTTACAGTTGTATTGTTTGCATTTTTATAGATCCAAAAAGATATTCTGTTATCTCAAGGAGTGTTGGAGCTTGGACCTCGATCTGATCTACTGGCGGAGGTACTAGGACGGGAACATTCCGGTCGCACGAGGGCAGTTGGTCATAATTCGGATTAAAGCAATCAATGATTTATAAAAGAAAAAAGAAAGAACATGAGTTACCCGATGTTGAACAGATGCAAGAAAAGCTAGAGACGAGGATGTTGAATAGCAACTTTATGACAAGATCAAAGATAGGTTAATGACTGAGATGTCGGAACAATTAGTACCGATAGTGGTTGCTGCGTTGAAGCAAGATAAGACAATTGATATGGCGGACGACACAAATTTTTCTCGGGTGAAGACGACAAGTGTTGGATCGAAGACATCCACGACATTGTTGGATGATTTGCATAAGATAACGATATCTATTTTTTCTAACATATATATTTGTTTGCATGTTTGATAATATAACTTTGCATTAAACAAAATGTATATTTGTTTGTAGGAAGCCACCGACTGTGAGTTGATGCTACCATATGGCACAATACGCCCATCATTAGCCAAAGGAACCGTCTTCCCTTTCGGAGATGGTGTAATTCATTCGGTTCCTCTAGAAGCAGGGCATTTGAGGGTATCAGTCGATATTATCTATGGAGATCATCATTCTTTCCTTCTTCCAATATCGCCAATTGAAGGTGTATATATCTAGGGCAGGCACTTCATAGTTTATTCAATGGCCTAGAGATTCAATTACTCTTATTAAGGTACATTAATATCTAATCACATGCATCATTGACTATTTACTAAACTCGATTTCAATTATGCAGAAAGATAAAAGACCTCTCATCGAACCATTATCAATGTCGACCCAAGCTGCTCCTATTCTTCATGACCAGGTAGTCACTCTAACTTACAATTTTGGAAAGGTATTGTTTTCATTTATAGTTAATTTGCCATAAAAAAACTACATATATTAAAATATAATCTTTTAATTTGGACTTTAGGAAAAAGAGAAAGAAAACGTGAATGTTGAAGAAGCTAAGAGCATAAGAAGAAAGAAAGAAAAAGCAAGAGTATGAGGTGCATAAGTTTCTTCTTTTTGATTTCTTTGAAAGATATTATATATTAACATGCCTTAATAAGATAAAAAGTTACAATGATAATATATTGAAAGTTGGATGCTTTTTAGCATTTAGCCACAAAATATACTGTATTTTTTACTATTTTTTGGTGCAGAAAAATCTTCCTAGAAAGAAAGAAGGAAACTGGAAGCATCTAAAGAGATGATGGGGGATGAAGCAGAAAATAGGGTATATGGCACAAACCTACGTCTCTCTCTCTCTCTCTCTCTCTCTCTCTCATTGTTATTATTTTCATAGCAATACAATTTTCATGATAATCGTTTGGTTTCTTAATGTAGGTACAAAAGGAAAAGTTATACAAAACGATGCAAGAACCCATGATGCCAAAGAAACTGTTTAAGAGCCACAACATTCCGGAGTCGTTTCCTATTGTGTCTGAACCCGGGATCTTCAACTCTGCGAGTGTTGAAACCGTGATTAGCTCAGTGGCCATTATGGAGATGTTGAACAAAGAACAACTTGATATTAGTTGTATTCTCTGGTATCAAATGTAAGTACTTTAACATTTATGGTATTAATGTTTCATATTATTTTACCATTATAATATATATTGTGTTTTCAGAATGCTACATTCACTCATGCTTGTATCAAGAATGGATAACAAATGTGGTTTTATAAACCCACAATGTATCACGTCTACGAGATGTGAATACGATGATAGGGGTGAAACAGATCATGTCATCAATGATCTTGTTGATATGATGAATTTTCATGAGGAAAAACAATTTTTTCTTGCACCATATTGGGAAAGGTATGATATTCTAAATGTCTTTACTGTTATGATATTTTTAATCAAAAGTTGTTTATGTTTAATTTGTTTAATCTTTATTAGGAGACATTGGATGTTGATAATGATTTGTCCTCATCAATATAAAAGCTACATTTTGGATTTTGCAAGACAGACAAAGACATTGAAAGACTACACAATAGTTGAACATGTGAATAAGTAAGAAATTTATTATTTTAGTATTCAAAATGATATATCTTTTTATAAATTTTAACAAATCATTGTTGTTTATTTTTGTTTTAGGGCTGTTACAAGGTTTAAAAAAACAAAAACCAACAAATCACGTTTGTGTCCAATGACTTGGATTTTCCCCAAGGTAATTAATCTTACTAACTAATATATATATATATATATATATATATATATATATATATATATATATATCCGAAAAGAAAACTCTCATACGTATATAATTGTTTTAGTGTAATCAACAATTGTCCGATTGGGAGTGTGGTTACTACGTTATGAACTGGATGCATGAGTTTGTACTTTTTCGACAACATGGATTTCCGAAAGTAAGTATATTGTTAGATATATATATTTTTTTCATTTTTGTTTATTGTAATAAAGGCTCACCTTTGTTAAATAACAAATTTTTTATCTTAATTTGTTTGTAGAACATTTGGAAGGACAAAAAACCATTTTCTAGTGAGGAATTAGAGGAACGTGTTAAAACATGGATGAGAACTTTTGGTGATAAAGTGAAGCCTTTTTGTAAGGTACACAAGTTGTATTTCATGTTGTATTTGCTCATATTTTTTATGTTCTGGAGAAGTTTTCACCCTTGCATTGCTATAGATGAAGTTGTTAATGGCCAAGGTCTTATAATTTGAGTTTTCTTCATTAAAAGTTATTTGAGATTTTGAATCGTAAGTTTTCTTGTTAATTTTTGTAGGCATACAATGAATCAACCACAAAGGGGAAAAAGAGGTTAGAGGTGACAAAGGGGAAAGAGAGGTTAGAGGTGACAAAGGGGAAAGAGAGGTTAGAGATGTGACATTAACAAAATTTTTTCTGTTTAATGAACTAAGTTCATTGTAATTTTTTTTTCTATTTCTGAAAATGAAAACATGATCAGTGATGTCCCACTTCTTATGGTTGGAATGGAATCATATAGTAGGTTTGTATTTTGTAGAGATTGATCCATGGTAATCATATAGTAGCTTTGCAGAAATTGAAAAGTTTGTTTCAGTTGGAATGGTGATCCATGTGTTCCAGAGCATCCATGGACTGGAATTGACTGTTTGGAGTGGAAGTGGAATGGAATTGGTGTATTAGATGTGAGACATCAAGATGTGTATTGTTTGGAGTGGAATTGGAATGGAATTGGTGTATTAGATGTGAGACATCAAGTACGGTTGTTTATTGGTGTATTAGATGTGTATATATGGCGTATTAGATGATTGTATGCATGCGATGGTTGTAAACTAGATAGGATAATATAATACGGTCAAATAGCCGTACTCTATTATGCATGTAATCTAATACACCCCTCTACTAATACGCCCTCTATGTACGTATTATATTCACAATTTCAACCGTACTCTATTAACCTTTTTCTAGTAGTGCAATTTGTTGCTTGTAGTGGAATTCTTAGTGTACGAACGGAAGTGCCACCAGTGACGATAAAAGGTGACCGGAGCAAGTCGGTGCTATTTGATAGTTGTAATTTGGCCAAAGAGTTGATGCATATAGAGGAAAGGGATATGAATAAGGATAAATGGTTCATTATAAGCAAGGTATGGGTGGAGTTATTGTGTTATGGTGCATGTAATTCACGAGCCAACACTCTAGCAGCACAAGTGAGCAAAGGAGGTGAGCTCATTACCATCGTTTGGTTGTTGATGTTTCATTTGGGTTTAAGTGATCAATTCCAAACTAATCGTCAACCAATAGCAAAACTCATTGTTGGCAAGTAGTTTAGTCTTTTTCGACCTTTCTATGAAATTTGAACACCTGTAAAATACTATGGTTCATAAAATATTTTCCGATTTTATGTTAGATTTATCTAAATATGATCTCACAAAAATACCAAAATACTTTAAGTGTGTTTCAAAAGACATCCAAGTGTGTTTCAAAAGACATCCATAGGGGTGTTAATGCAAAGCCCCAAAATACTCATCAATTTTTTTTTTTTTTTTCATTTTTAAAATCATTAATCCATACATCACGTGTCTCAAAATCAATTAGAATAAAATGTATCAAAATCATCAGAGTAAAATAATCATTGATGCGGAAATCATAAGGAGATGTTATGCAGTCATGTCATGCCTTTCCCTTTGGAACTGAAGGTACCTAAAAATGTTTAAACCACAAACTGTAAGCATAAAGTTTAGTGAGTTCCCCAAAATACCACATACCATAGAAATAGGCTCAGCCTAATACACAAATGAGCCTAACCCACTCATTTTAATGGGCCAAACACAACATTTATAATAAATGGGCGCAGTATAACATACAAATGCGCCCAACCCAACATACATAAAGATGTGCCTAGCCCAATATATAACAAATGGCCCAACCTAACATACAATAAATGGGCCCAACCCAACATATAAATAAATAGGCCCAACCCAACATACACATGCAAGAGTCACAAACACAGCTAACATCCTACACATTATAGTGAAAAGACTCACGTGACTCATGAATCAGCTAAACCATAGCTCAAAGCCCCCGCAACAGATGCTATGACACACCTATTGAAACATACAAGGTCCAACCTTAGCCTTGAATATTAATATTGGTTAAAATATTAAGGATTTTAACAACTAACTAAAACTATTATAGATGTCTGGAAACGGTGATGCTCCTGCTCAATCCTTCACTCAAAACTCTAGCATCACTCTCTTATTGATTCTGTCAAAAGAGAAGCTCGTTGGTCGAAACTACATGGATTGGATGAGGAATATAAAGATGACTTTTTGTTACGAGAACAAGGAATATGTTCTCGAAAATCCTTTTGTTGAAATCAATGAATCCACTGTTACCGCTAAAGAAATAACTGCTCTCAACAAGCATTCTGATGATGCCACCAATGTGATGGGTTTTGAGCATTCTAACACTTCCTAAGTGTACATGCAACCCTAATAAACCTTGGATCTATGTTTGTCTAAGATACATGCAAATAATTAAATTTTCCAAGGTTCATATCCTAACTAGCATGGCATGGGGAACATGAATCAAATGAAGCTAGTAGAAATACTTACCTTGTAGTAGTAGTTGATTGCTTGGAGTTTTAGAGCCTAGCACCAATAGTGTGGATGCCTCAAATGGAAATCACAAATCACCACAAACTTGGAACTTTGAGAGAATAGTCACTACTATCTTGAAATCGGCCCTCACCTCAACAAGTGTCAACTAGTGTGATTTCAAGAACCAAAGCCTCCTTTATATAGTGTGGTGGATTAGGGTTACATCCATGTAAACCCTAATACCCATGTCTCTTCATTTCCATGAGATCCATGGGTTAAAGCTCCATGGAGTATCCATGGACTTTTCCATGCAAGCCTAGCCCATTCCAAATAAGCATTAGCCCACACTATATAAATATAGAAGCCCATATTTAATTAGTAATATCTTTGATCTCTAAATTAATCCTAGATTAATTATAGATCAATACTAATTAAATAATATGATCTTATATTAATATATTAGAACTTATAATATATTAATAAATCATAACTTGTACTATTCTCAAAAGATTATCCATAAATTGTTCGGGTGAAGTGCAACCCAAATGGACCATGTCGGGTCGGGTCAAGTACATACCAAATATAGTTATGGACTTAGACACTATATCCAACAGTCTCCCACTTGGATAAGTCTAATAACTATAGTTGCAAGTATGACTTCAGGAACCGATCAGCAATCGTAGCTCTTTAAACTCTGTTTAACTAGAATGCGCCATTTAGATAAGTGATCATATAATCCTCTATTCTAGATATCAGCCGGACAAATACATGGAACATGGTCTTACTTATTGTCTAGCATTTGTTTCCCGATTTCCGATTTGTTTGACATAGAACTTAACTGAACACAACAATTTAGTTCTGACCGGGCCCGGTACATAGGTCAAAACAAAATCATCGAAGGGCCCATATATCGCTTCTAATCCTAGAAGGAACAGATAAACTTCGACTCATATGTTTGTTCTACCACTCATTGAATTACACACAAAGGCACGTTTTATAACATCGAGTTACTAATGCGTTTTCGTACAATCAATGCATAACCAACTCGTAAGTAACAAATCATATCTCTAGGTTTGAAGACTTATATGATATTACCGTCTCACGATCACTCGAGATAAAATTCCATGAAGTGATTCCAGTGAGCGTGGGTTGAGTCCAATGCTCAGAACTTATGAGCACTCATGATTGTTGTAGCCATGTCCAACACCTTAGACCTCTGCAACCAATCATGACAGTCTTGATTCATACCTACTTCCGACATATGACCGACTGTGGAGGTTTGAATAATATGATATACCAAACATAATTATTCTGAAAGTCAAAACATGCAAAAAGAAATAAAGTAAACGATCGACAAGAGATAGCAACACTTTACTCATAAATAAAACACTTTTTATTCATCATCTAATGTCAATTACACTTTACAAATTTCATAATTTATCTAACTACTAAAACTTATATCATCCTTCAGCCCTATGCTCCGAGCATGCTGGAGATGCTTAACCCTACTCAGTCCCTTCGTGAGGGGATCTACTGGGTTCTCATCCGATGATACCCTCTTTGCCATGAGGATTCCTTCTTCTATTCGATGTCTGATGAAGTGATATTTTCTGTCAATGTGTCTGGATCTCCCATGATCTCTTGGTCCTTGGCTAAGGCAACCGCACTATTGATGTCACAGAAAATCTCTATTGGCTCCTTTATAGATGGTACAACTCCAAGGTCTCCGATGAAGTTCTTTAGCCATATGGCCTCCTTTGCTACCTCGCTTGCTGCTATATACTCTGATTCACAAGTGGAATCAGCCACTGTCTCCTGCTTGGAAGTCTTCCAAGTGATTGCTCCTGCGTTTAAGGTAAAGACCCAGCCCGACTGAGAGCGGAAATTATCCCTATCAGTCTGGAAGCTAGCGTCACTATACTCTACAACTCTCAAGTCATCACTCCCACTGAGGGTAAGGACCCAGTCCTTAGTCCTCCGTAGGTACTTGAGGATATTCTTTACCGCAGTCCAGTGTGCCTTGCCAGGGTTCCCCTGATACCTGCTAACCATGCTCAAAGCAAAGGCTACATCAGGTCGAGTACACGTCATAGCATATATGATCGATCCTACAGCTGAAGCATAAGGTAGTCGACTCATTTCTACTATCTCAGCCTCAGTACTAGGGCTTTGTGTCTTACTCAATCTGGCATTACTCTGAATGGGTAACTCACCTTTCTTGGAGTTATGCATGTTGAATCTTTTCAACACTTTGTTCACATAGGTGCTTTGACTAAGTCCAATTAGTCTTTTACTCCTGTTTCTCAAAATCCTTATCCCTAGAATATAGGTAGCTTCACCAAGGTCCTTCATAGCGAAACACTTCCCAAGCCATGACTTTACTTCCTGCAGGGTTGGGATGTCATTTCCTATGAGTAGTATGTCATCCACATACAGTACCAAAAAGCTGACTATGCTCCCACTGCCTTGATATAGACACAAGATTCATCTTCACTCCTTGAAAAGCCAAATTCCTTGACTTTCTCATCAAAGCAAAGATTCCATCTGCAAGGTGCCTGTTTCAATCCATAAATGGATTTCTTTAGTTTACACACTCTATTAGGGTAGTCTGTACTGACAAAACCCTCTGGCTGAACCATGTAAACATCTTCAGCCAACTTTCCATTAAGGAAAGCGGTTTTGACATCCATTTGCCATATTTCATAGTCATGAAATGCATCAATGGCTAACAGAACCCTAATAGATTTTATCTTGGCCACTGGTGAAAAGGTTTCATCATAATCAACTCCCGGAGTTTGAGAATAACCTTTTGCAACCAGTCGTGCCTTATAAGTGTGTACATTACCATCCATGTCGGTCTTCTTCTTGAAGATCCATTTGCACCCTATAGTCTTACGACCTGGTACATTCTCAACCAAGTTCCAAACTTGATTGTCATACATGGATTGTATCTCGCTATCCATAGCCTCTTTCCATTTAGCAGCCTCAGGGCCTGCCATGGCTTCCGCGTAGCTGTTAGGTTCATCCAGACCTACTAGTGTCTCATCACTAATAAGTGTCTCACCTTCTGCAGTAATATGGAAACCATAGTAATGCTTAGGTGCATTCCTAACTCTGGTGGAACGCCTCAGAGGTACAGACTCGTCAACTGGCTCAACAGGAGTTTCCTCCTCAAGTTGAGGGCTAGTGTTTGAAGTTCCTTCACCACTTGACTCTTGAATTTCTTCAAGATCAATTTGCCTCCCACTGTCTCCTTGGCTTATAAACTCTCTCTCTCTCGAAAGACTCCTCTTCTTGCTATAAAGACCACATTATCACTAGGTCTGTAGAAGAGGTAACCAAAGGATCTTTGTGGGTAGCCGATGAAAATACACCTCTCGCTTCGGGGTTCTAGCTTGTCATGAGTCTCGCGCCTCACAAAAGCCTCGCAACCCCAAATCTTGATGTGGTCTAGTTTAGGTACTTTACCAGTCCACATATCGTGAGGAGTTTTGGCAACTTTCTTTGTAGGGACTAGATTAAGAATATGGGCGGCAGTCTCTAAGGCATACCCCCAAAATGAGATTGGTAGCGTAGCTCGACTCATCATGGAACGAACCATATCCAACAAGGTTCGATTACGCCTCTCAACTACACCATTCAACTGTGGTGTCCTGGGAGGTGTCAATTGTGAGACAATCCCACATTTCCTAAGATAGTCGAGGAACTCTGAACTAAGATACTCA